AAAAGAACTTCAAAAAATATAATTTAATTTTCAAATATGTCCGAAGAGCAGTCAAATGAATTTGAAGAATTAATTAATCAACTTGAAAGTTCTATTGATGTATTAGAAACTCATGAAAAAATGGATTATGAACTTCCAAAATTATATTATAAGATGGTGTTTGAGGATGAATTATCAGAAGAGGAAAAAGGATTGGCGTTAAAAGGATTGGTATTATATTTGAATTACAAAAGAGAGTTTTATGAAACATTTATTAAAAGTCGTTTAGAAGATATTTATATCAAGTTACCATTCTATTTTGAAAGACCATTTACTGATTGGACTTTAAGTTTACTCAAGAAATCGCTCCAAGATAAAAAACCAAGTGAAGACATTGTCAATAAAATATGTGATACTATATCCATGGTATTAGATGAAGACCAACACCCAACAAAAACATTAAACAATGGATTTTTATTGATTCATAAAATTCTAGTAATATACCCTGAGTGTATTTCCAATATTATACAAAGTGAGTCTTTCTCAAGTGGAAGATTAACTCAAGGACTAATATTAGAATTAATATTTACTGAATATAAAGAATCAATGTATTCTATTTGTCTTGATGTTTTGAATATTCTTTATTCTCAAAAAGAAGCTGATAAATATTTATATATTAATGATCTCAATGTAATGCTTTCTGATGTATTTCCATCATTATGTAGACAAAATAATTATACAACTGACTTGGTAATGCATAAAATGTGTTTAACCCTTATTGTTCTTCTTAGAATTGCTATTAACCATTCAACATATGAAGAGATTCCTGCATTTAGAGAATGTTTGGAACATTTAGCAACATCACAAGATGATACTAAATTAGTTAATGAATTATTAGACTTATCAACATTAAATCAATAATAAAAATCAATCAATTTTCTTTGCAAATGATATTATTATTACTTTTTTATTTTAATTGTGCAATACGTACAATTTTTTCTTTGTTATAATGATCTCTAAAAATACTTGATTTATGAATTTCTTCGTCTTCTGAGTCGTTGTTAATTGTGTTATTATCTTCAAAAGAAACCTCCTTTTCAAGTTGTTCAAGTTTTCTTGACACATCAACCATCTTCTTTTCTAAATTTTCTATCTTTGCATTTTCCTCTACAGTAATTTCTTCTGGGGTTTTTTTGAGGATGCTTTTTTCTTCATACTCTTTAATTTTCATTTGGTTTTCAAAATGTTGTTGCCATTTCATAATTTCTTCCTTTCCCTCTTCAAAACAACCACACTCTTTCATTTCACTCAAAATAACTAATAACTCCCAGAATAAACTTTCTTCCATTTCTTCGGCAGGTAAAACTAGGTCTGACGGTTTGTCTTCAACTTTTGGTTTCTTTCCCATCCACTGAACTATACCATTCCATACTCTTTTCATATTTCAAATAATGTTTTTTTTTAGTTTTATCTTCAAAACCCAAAACTGTCTTTCAGTGAAGATAATTATCAAGATGATAATTTAACAAACATTATGTTCATTTTTTGATTTGGAACTCATAAACTTTTCCAATAAAGTATGAAGAAAGAATGAATAGTAATAAATTGAGTACAAGAGAGACTAATGGAAGTATAAGATAATCACCAAGTGTAAAAATAATCACACAGAATTGAAAAGGTAAAATCTCAAGCCAACAATGATTAGATCCAAGTTGATCCATTCTTAAATGAAATGAAGTTGAGAGATAAGGAATTCTAAGAGTGAAAGGGATTGCAAATAATGAAAATTTAAGAAGAATAAAAGAACGTTTGAATAAGTTCCAATTTTTTGAAGAAAATGTCATTTCAATTTCAATAGAACCATCAAATGAAGTTAAGACTTTAGAATGAGATGTTGGAATAGTTTGAATTGTTATAGAATGAATTTTAAAGAAAGGAATGAACCTAAAAGGTATTATTGAGTTAAACCAATCCAGTTGATGATTTAAATAATATATTTTGAGACAAGTAATGTAACAAAGAAAATCAGCTATTTTCAAAGATGGAGTAAATAAAGGAAAAGGAATTTTCATTGATTTTTGAGAGAATGCATACCATATTTCTAATTCGTGAGAGTAACGAAAACGAAGAAAGATACGGTCAGAATGGAATTGTGAAATTCTATTGTTATTTTGAATCAATAATAAATTTCTTTGATCCCATTTAATAGGACCAAAAGTTTGATACAATTCAATATGTTCTTTTAATGGAATTATAACTACATCGTTTGGACCTAAAATATCATAAGTTAAAGGGGTGAATATCATTACATCATTGTCGATATACATTTCAATAATTCCTTCAATTACAGTAGTAGAAACAATTAATTTAACTTCAGTATTAAAAAGAACTTTTCCAAGTTTATCTCTTAATTCCTTTTTACCGATTCCAAATTGATAATATTGTTTTTTTGTTTTTGACCAAACTAAAACAGAGATTAAAACAAAACAAATTAATAATGTTATTAGTATAATCATGTCTTGATTGACTTATTTAAAAGAACATCAATATATTTATTTTTCTTTTCATCTTATTTTGAAAAGTCTCCTTATTTTTGTTCAATTAAAAATTCATTGATTACTCGATAATAATTATCATAATAAGGAAGTTGCATATGTCTTGCTCCTGGAAATGAAACTAACCTTGTTTGAATACCCATACTTCGTGCTTTCATTTCCATTTTTCTTGTCATCCAAGGTGGAACTATTTCATCTCCTTCTGATAATAAAAATAAAATTGAAGTTTTCTTATTAATTGTCTCAATCTTCTGTTCATTTAGCCATGGGTCACGAATCATAACTTCATTGTTTTGTAAATTTGGAAGAAACTCAACAAGACTAGTAAATCCATTTTCAAGAATAAGTTTTTTTACAGGAAGTATTTGAGCAACACTTAATGCAACACCAACTCCAATGGATCTTCCCAAAATGGTGATGTTTTGAATAGGAATTCCATCTTTGTTTAAATGAGAAAGAGAGGCTAGTGCATCTTCAATAAATCCTTGTTCAGATGGTTTTCCTGTTGAACTTCCATATCCACGATATGACAATATTCCTACACTTATATTGAATTTAGAATAAAAAGATTTAAGGAGAAATAATCTATCAAGAAAACAACCTGCATTACTTTGGAATAATACTAACAACTGAGAAGAATTAGGATGAATTCCATAATACAAATGGACAATTTCATGGTCTTTTGTTTCTGTTTTCAAATCAATTAAATCAAAGGGTAATTGGTAATCATATTTTATTTTATTCATTGATGGGATATTAGGATTAGATGGATAATACAAGGCATAAGAATTTAGAGTCACAAATAATAAAATGAAAAGCATATGTTTTAACATAAAGATATATTATTTTAGAGTTAAAAAAAAATAATTAATA